GGACCACGCCCCCGCCCCCGCCAGGACCACGCCCCCGCGCCCGGCCAGGGCCACACCAGGTCAGCCGCTAACAGCTGGGCTGGAGCATCCGGGCCTCTGTTGGCTCCGGAAAAACAGCTGCCACAGCCTGTCTGGGAAGCGACCCCCGCTGGGGCCTGTGGCCAGGAGAGGCTCACTCACCTGTCATGTTCTTTATCCACCAGGTGGTACCTGGCGCGGAAGGCCACCAGGTGAGCGTAGTATGCTGGCGCTGGGATGGACACCGAGCGCGTGCAGCGCACGTAGGTGTGACACAACTGGTAGGTGAGGATCTGCAGCTCGTCGGAAGAGAAACGATTGTCATCCCAAAGCACGTGGTAGTGGGAGGGCCTGCTTGTTCCCTGAAAGCAGACATGGGGTCAGAGACGCAGCGCTCACCGTGAGGGCACCGCCAACAGGCTGTGCCCAGCCGCTCACCGCTCGCTTGCTCCTTACCAAGGACACGGTGTTTAGCAACAGACAGCGACGTTATTACGCATCATTGTAAAAGGCACCAGGAGATATATTCCATCGGGCGTGTAAACAGACCGCACACACTTATTCACATACAAAAACCATAGAAAAGATATAAAACAATAGAGAAAAGTTTGTTCCGGGGCTGCATCACCGTATAGGTCGGGTTTCTACAATGTTTTATTTACAGGCAAGAAAACCATCTATTTAAAACACGCCAAAACCGGTTTGGCTCAGTGGATAGAGCGTCGGCCTGCGGACTGAAAGGTCCCAGGTTCGATTCCGGTCCAGGGCATGTACCTGGGTTGCGGGCACATCCCCAGTAGGAGATGTGCAGGCGGCAACTGATCGATGTCTCTCTCTCATCGATGTTTCTAACTCTCTATCACTCTGCCTTCCTCTCTGTAAAAAATCAATAAAATATATTTAAAAAAAAAAACTCACATGTTGACCACACTTTAAAAAGGGAGTTGGCACACGTGTGTTACTTGTGTAGTTTGTGAAGCTGGAAATCTTTTGAAACTGAAGGAAGTGGGAGCTGGCAGCCTTGCCCCCCAACACAGGGCACAGAAGGCACTGGCATGGGCACCCTCACAGCTGCTACACTGCTCAGCCGGCCCACCCGCCTGCCTCCCACAAAGTCCCGCCTGCCTCCTCCGGTCTGGCCACGGCTGCCCGCTCAGCCCTGTGCTCGGCCCAGTGACAGATGCCACGTCCCCGCCCCACCCCCACTTTGCCATTTCGTTGGTGGCTGTTAAAGGGGAGGGGGGCGGGGTGTTCTGTGTAAGGGGGCCTGCCCCTCGAGGCCCATGTGTCCCAGCCCTAAATGTCTCAGCAGAGGACAGGCCAGAGCCCCCCCACCCCTCCGTGTTTGCACGTGGGCCTGTGTGGAAGGCGCCTGCTGGAGGCTGTGAGTGGGAGAGAGGCTGCCCAGGGACCCACAGGGAGGCCACTGTCTCCAAGGCTCAGTCTCTCTTTTCACTTAACAACTAAACGTGGAAGAGCCGTTCCGGGCCTTGGCTGCACCCATAGGCCACACCTCGGTGTCGGGCAGTAACAATTCCCAGGAAACAGTCCAACTACCAAGTTCACAGTGAAGTCTCAAGTTTTAGGTTCCCGTTCTCTGGGGAGGGTTACTCAAGTCCTACACAGACTCAGACCAAGCCCGTGTGCTGGGCTCTGAGGCAGGCAGCACCCAGGCTGGACTCCCGGTGCTCAGCTGGCAATGGGCTGCCGGCATGGCACCCGCGTGGCAGCCATCCCTCAGGACCACCCTCTTCCCCGAGAGACGGGACAAGCCAGAGACACTTCTCCAGGTGCCCAGCAAAAAACACACGTGGGGGGTGACACGCGTGGACCCCACCACGGGTGTGAGCTCACTAAGGCGGCCCCTTGTCCCTCACCGCCCTTCCCACATCTCCGGAGCCCTCCTCGTCACCTGGTGCGAGGCCGACCTTCACCAGGTGGTCTTGTCACCTGAGCTCTCACCCCGCTTGCTAAGCACCAGGCCCAGAGACACCCTGCCCCCGCCCGTGCGCCTGCACCTGGCACTCACCACTCCTGCCTGGACCTTATCTCATCTGAAATGCATCCCAGCTTCCCAGTGGGTCCCTTGTCCCCAACGCCTGGTGGTCCCGAGCCCCTGACCACGGCTGGCACCCTGCTAAGTGCTCCCCACCGAGTCCCACCCCGAGGGTCACACCTGCATGTGTTTGCTGAGTGTGACCTGACGTCACAGACACTGAGAGGCCCAAAGGGGGCCCTTTGCCTCACCTGGATGCCAGCGTGACTGCACAGGTAGAAGTCGAACTCGGTCGGGTGGGTGATCTTCGTGTCCACGGTGGTGCCTGCTGGAATGTTTCCGCTCTGCCCGACCTTCAGCAACACAGGAGTGTCAGCCATGCCCGGAGGAGGGTGTGGGGGGCAGCCGAGGAAGCCCAGCAAGCCCTGCCCACCGCCCTGAGGCTGGGCCCCCCTCCACAGGCCCTGTTCAACTCTTTAAATTGACGGATACATTTGCTCAGCACTTTTCAGACCGGCCACAGCCCTGGCTACTCGCTAGTGGGTTCTCTTTCAGAGCCGCCTCCCGGCCCTGTATCAGCTAAAGCACGGGTCTCCGCCGGACCCGTGCGATTCACAGGGCCACGTGCTCACCAAACGGAAGACGGCGCTTCTCTAATGCCCCAGGCCCGCACCCAACACAGCCCTCCGAGGGCAGCGGCTCCCAGAGCCCGGCAGGCCCCGCGGCGAGGACACGCACCCGCTCGTTCTTGTCCGTGCAGAAGAGCCGCGTGTGGTGCCGCTTCTGCACCACGATGAACGTGATGCCCGGCTGGTAGTCCTTCTCCAGCTTGATGCAGGCCTCGCGGATGGCCAGCAGCTCGTGGTGCAGGACCTGCGGGGACAGAGGGCGTCAGGGCCAGTGTGTCCTCAGGGTCCGCTGCCGGGAGCAAGTCGCTTAGTCACAGGCAGCGCGTGACACATATCTGCAGCCACGGCTCCGAGTCCCACTGGCGTGTTCATGGCTGCGTACTCTGTCTTTCGGGACCTACGCCTCCGTTTGTACAACGGAGAGACTGACACCCAGGTCTCAGGGGCCAGTGGTTTCAATGAGAAGATGGTAAGCGCTCAGCACGGAGTGTGCCAAGTGCTGGGTGAAGGCCGCGCAGTGGCATGAGATGCGGTGGGGGACACAGCACAGCCCTCTCCATGTCTGTCGTGGAGAAGGGCGAGCGGGCCTCGTAGGAAAGACACTGGCTTAGGCGTCGGAGGCAAGTCCAAGTCCTCACCTGACATGAGCGCTGTGTGGCTGGGGGAAGCCAGGCACCCTCTCTGATCCCGGTTTTCACTCTTAAGATGGGACCACCGACCTTGCAAGCTTGCTGTGCTGACTAAAGTGATGTGCAAAGCCTGTGCCCGGGAGCCCCGGAGTTAGGGCACAGGACGGCGAGGCCCAACTCGTTCCCTCCGTCTGTCTTCAGAGAAGACGGGGGACGTCCCCGCACACCCCTGAGGCTTCAGTGACTGTCCCCGCTACACACTGTTCTGCTGCCCTGACTACGCCTCCAACCCTTCAGGAGACGAGGGCGGAACTAGACAACCAAGAAGGCTGGAGCTCAGAGGAGCGCCCTTCCAGCCGGAGGGAGGCGACCTGGAGTTCTGCGCAGGCAGTGCCACAGGGTCCACCGGCCTCGGCACCCAACAGACGAGGGAGCGCCAGCCCATCCCCCTCGCCGACAGCGGCCTCGGACAGCCGCTGCCCTGGGCCCCGCCCTGCACCCAGCAGCTCACCCAGGCACCAGGGCGGCCCTCAGGCTCCTCCCACCCACACCCTGCCTCTGCCCGAGAGCATCACCAGGTAACGCGTGTGTGGGGGACGTGGCGGGAGCAGAGGGGCAGTCACCGGCCAAGGGCACACGCAGGGACAACCTCCCAAGACCCGGGCAGGACAACTCCTGCCGCCCAAGGCCCGACCTGGAGGTGCCAAGGCTGCTGTTCCCGCTCACCGCCCTTCTGCGGTGCTCCCTGCGTCTGTGCGTCACAGACACCCCGCCTTCCAGACCGCCCTCCACGTCCCCCAAGATGCTGCCCCTCACTCCCCATCCAAACAGCGGCCGGGCCTGCTGACTGCGTTCTAAGGGCTCCCAGCCATTCCCCACACCCGGCGTGCTTCTCCGTCACGCTACTCACTGCCTGCCCTGCGCACTGCAGCCCAATGGGGTGCCCGCCCCACAAAGCCTCCCCCACACCTGCCTCCGCCCGCACAGCTCTCCAGCCCAAGCCTACCCATTGCTCCTCCCGCCCGTCTGTCCTGCCTCAGCGTCGCCGCCGTGCCCACCGTCCCCGTGACCTGACAAGCACAGGCACAGGGAGCGGTCGGACAGGCTGTAGGTCGCACCCCCTTCTCCGCAGAGACCCCGAGAAGCCGCTCTGCCGGACAGACAGGCAAACCCCAGAGCGCAGAGGCGCCCACCTGCTGGAACTGCCCCTCGGACACGCCGTCGCGGTAGAAGATGATGCGCGTGGGCTTGAAGCGCGTGGACTTGTAGAACTGGATGAGCAGCTCGCGCACCATGGCCGCCAGGTCCTGGATGATCTCCTGGCGGTGCTGCTGCACCCGCACGGTGGCGCAGTAGCGGTTGGGGTGGGCGTCCATGCTGCCCACGACCTGTGGGCAGGAGGCGGCTCGTCAGGAGCAGTGCTGCCGCTTCCTGGGCTCCCCGTGTGGAGGGGAAGCTGGCATTGGCCCCGTGCTTGGCATGGAGCAGGGCTGGACCCACGAGCTGCCCTGGGCAGAGGGAAACCAACAGGTGGCTCCGGACAAACGAGGAGCACACACGGCCACACGGCCCTCTGGCAGCCCCACGGGGTCGACGGGACCTGCAACCCCGGGCCTTCGCTCCTACCCCCGAGGGAGGCTGGCTCAGCCCGAGGAAGGGGCAGCGGCCGGGTGTCAGCAGGGTCACCGTGAACCGAGGCCGCCACACCGCCTCCTGGGCAACCTCAGAGCTAGGAGGAGGGAGAGGGCTTCGGTTCCGGCCCGCGCACACGCTGAAAAACAGGCCGTCAAGCCTTGGTGTGCCCCGAGTGCGGCGAGGCTGCCAGGAGCAGCGCCCCCCTTGGTGGGACGGACGCGGCTGGTGGGGGCTGTTGGTGCTGACACGCCGCTCTCACTGCTCCCAGTCGCACTGACCCGCCCGCAGCGCCTCCCAGTGCCTTTCCCACGGGACCCGGGACCCGGACGTCCCCAGCTGCCACCTAGCAGCCTCCTGCTCTCAGGAAGAGCTCTGGCCATCTGGCCGCAATGGGACCGTGTCCCCCCCCCACCCCACCCCCGCTCCCTGCGGCCAGCGCGGCACTCACGGCAGCGATGGAAGGCTTCTTCCCGTCCCCCGCGGGGGGGTGTGTGACATCGGCCCCCAGGAAGATGACCGGCTGCTGGAACACGGGCGGCCCTTGGGGGGAGAGGGAGCTTGAGGCCGAGGCTGGGCACCGCCCAGTCCGCGCGGGCACCCACTCCTGGGCGGCCAAGGCGCTGGGCGAAGTTCTCTTAGCGACGCACTCAGAGAGCCTCACAGGACGTGGCAAGGCCGCGTGAGCTTCGGAAGAACCCGTGGGGAGAGGTGCGGTGGGCCGGCCGCTGAGGCTGGACGGGGCGGGGTCCATCTCCGCACACACAGAACGTTTCCCCAATAATACTTCCTGGCCCCCCAGGAGGACGGGGTGCTTCCCACCCGGCAGAGGGAGCAACGGGAGTCGCCTCAGGGGGGCCCCCCGACAGCACTCCCATGGAGCCTCCCAGGCACTGAGGACCCCCCGCCTGAGTGGAGTGAGGGAACGGGGGGGTGCCCCATCAGTGCCCACAAACGTGGGCAGGTCCCCCATCCGTGCCCAGCATGGTCTAACCACCGGCTGCCCGGCCCCCCAGGGCATGGAAGCTGCTTGCTACCCCTTCCCGAGCGTGGG